TATAGTTATCTAGACATACGACGGTAACTTGAAGTCAGTGTCGACTGCATGGATACGTATGTTATATCGAATTCATGAATGGAATCCGACTGGTGAAGAATCAATTGTAACTACTGTGATTGCAAAATATATAGTGTTAATTTAATGTAAGCTATTTCTAGAAATGCAAAATACGTGTTTGCATATGTGATGCCAAATAAATCTTTATTTGGCATCTCACAACAACAAACAAAAGTTTGTAAACAATTAACGTAGACCTATAAAACTTTGGGTGTGTATATTCCATTTCGGGGATTATTTTATCCTCCAATAACGTCTTTAGCATAATACCCTAGATTTAGATCTTCCCATGCCTTTTCTGGCCAGAAAGCCGTGCCTACTACCCTGAGAAATGCCGTTAAAATGAATTGTTCAATAAAAACTTAAAGTTTCTAGCTTCTTGTTCCTCAACAGAATTGAGAGCTAAAAGCGGTTGCTTTACCACGAAACGTAGTTAACAACTAACTTGAATTATACAGCTACCAAACTAAAGACAACACACTCAATTCAGTTAAATGCACATGCGTGCCTGCGTGTGTGCATCTAACTGATATACTGCAAGCCGTGGTAGCCAAATGGTTTGACCAACCGCCTCTCCAGCAGAGCTCTCGACATACACTAGAATACGCGTTAGCACGCGGGTCGGCGCGAGGCCACCTGATTCGCCCACGTCGCGAAAATGAAAATGAAATCACGGGCCGTGGGAATCCAGCATTATGCTGGCCTAATGTGAATTGGGGAACTTCACGTGTTCCCTAAAGGAAGTGAAACTTCTTCAATGTGCAGATTTCATCACGATGTTTTCCTTCACTGCTATAAAACGTGTACAAGTGGATAATTATGCCATCACCGGGATTCAAATATTTCGGCCTCTCAATTGAGAGGTAACTGTTATCCTACGGGGTTGTTTTTTTAACCGCTCACGCGATGCGCTCCTCCTACCGCAAAATGGCGGCTATTTGGTTTCGCAAATTAGAAAAGCATTCAGTTTAAATACAAGTTTTTATAAATAAAATTTATTATTCTGCATTGCTAAGTAAATACCCTCCGTACTACCAACAAAAACATATCAAATAAAATGCAGTAATACACCGCAAATCCTGCACTTAAAAAGCACTAAAGAAATTTTTGGTGTGCTTGGATAAATATGATAATATTCCGTTTGAGTGGTTCTAACGTTTACCATGAAATTACTCCTTAAAGTATAGTTTTTAAACATTTATATTCAGGGTTAACTTAAAAAACGCTACTTACGGTATGTTTTCAATAAATAAACACCGAAATCACCAGCCCAAACAATAACACACACGATTGTCGTGACGTATTTTTGAAGTTGTTTATTTTTTTTAAATGACAGACCCAGGCATTAAAAACTTTATGGTTTGCTAGAGTAGTTACCGAAATAGCAATTAATATTAGTTCTTTTACCTGTTATAACTTCGATATCCGATAAATCGGTATAAAATCATCACCGGCACCTCCAGGTGTGGTATGCGTCTACGGCTGTATGTATCGCGTGAGCGGGTATACATATAATTATTGTAATACATTAACTGTAGGAAATAGGAAATAAGCATTGCTGGACGAATATTAATCTTCGTAAAGATCGAATCCAAAGCAAAGCACGTGTCCGTGTCGTTACATAATTCGATTTTTTTTCTTTTAAAAAATATGCCTTCAACTGCTTTTTATATACCTTAAAAGAGGCGGATGCCTAGCGGTGAACATAGTTGTAATATAGTTTTAACCGATTTGTGTATGTTACGCGATAACGCCGGCCTTGTGAACCGGTTCTGATGATTCTTTTTTGTTGGAAAGAGGGTACCTCCGTAGTGGTCCCGTTTAAATTTGAAGAAAATATTCCACCTCTGAGGGTGGCAAAACTAGGGGATGAATGAATTTTGAGATCGGTTTTTTTAGTACTCTGTACTGATTATTATCTGTCCTAATTACAAAATTGTCTATATATAACTTTCAATGTTTAATTTTATATCTGTTATGATTTAATACAATGAAAGCAACTTTATGAGGTACCATGACAATCATATTGAATTATTCATAGAAATATCTAGTGTAACACATTGTTTAGGCTAGATATTTCTGTTAATAATTCGACAATGGACATAAATTTAACAATGCGTCATTTATTCAAAACGGTTAAATAATTTAAACTCAGCTAGGGAACGAATAATGATTACACATAATACACAGTATTTATTTTTTGTTTAATTAGTTAGTATATTATTTATAAAAATAGTAGCACTGTTGCTGGTGTAATTACAGGCACGTGGGACTTGTCAGCTTATGTCTCGGGTGATGGGCGCAGTGGCAGTGCTCATAAGACCTTTGCGATTTAAAGCTCTGAGTGGCACTGCAACTGTTATGGACAGGCGTGTCGCTTACCATCGGGCGCACGACTTGTTCGTCCGCCACTTGATTTTATTTAAAAAAAAGTTGCATTTCCTTTGATTTCAATGCTAAGTATTTCTGCTATTGTAAACAAAGTCAAAGTCAACCTCAAAGAATCATATACTTACTCCATAAAATAAATTACACTTGAAAAGTCATTATTTTTGCTAACTTCCCCGAGAATAACGAGCAAGAAACTCTAGGGATTTCTCTTTCCAAATAAACTTAAATGTTATGGAATATACTTTGAATTCAAGAAGGATGGCGACATCCCGTGTATTTTGTGACCCAGTGTTTTTGATGATGTGCAATACAGAGACCTATCAATACTTGTGATTCATTATCAAAGCATCAAAAAAGCTAATTGAGCACAGCCTGTAGAAACTGGGGTTATAAAGTTGATATAGGTTGTGTTTATAACATTGTCCTGTATTTCTCTTCAGATGTTTGTTCGTAGTAGCAGAGTCAAAGTCAAAGTCAAAGATAATTTATTCCATGGGTAAAATAAATTTACACTTGAAAACGTCACATTTAAGCTACTGCTCGTTCACTACGCTGACCTCCCTGAGAAGAACGAGCAAGAAACTCTAGGGATTGCTCTTTTCAAATAAACTTAAATAAAAATAAATAGACTTAAAGAAATAACTAGTTTTCAGTTTATTCCTAAAATAATAAAGAACTTGCTGAATATTCCTAAATCTGCCAAACTCTGCCACATTTAATACGACATTAACATGTTCTGTCGCAATGAAAATTAATAAATATTAAATCTGCCCACACACACACACGTCACACTGTTCTTAATCTCAAAGTGACATTAACATCGGCAACAGGCTTCTTGTCAAAACGTTTCTTTGCAACTTTCATTATCTCTCATTGAAATATTTAAATATTGTCTAAACATTTTCGTCATAATTATTGTGGTTTATTTTTTACTTTATGTCATTACTGTTTAAATGATTATTTCATTAGGTATTTTATAGCTTTAATGTTTTATGTGAGTACTATAAATAACCAATGCTTGAGGTAGGTAAACATTCAATCATGAATAAAATGAAATGGGACAGTACTTAAGTCAGCTTTGTAAAGAATGGCGACGAAGACGAGATATATTAATTAGATATCTACATAACAACCGAAACTATTGACTTACAATTATATGGACGTCGGATCCGCGCTAAAAAGTGTCCGAACTTATAGGGCGTTAAAATCGTATACAGAGCGTCATTCACGCTTTGGTCTTCGTTTGTTCGACTGACAGCGAAGCAAGCAAAATTAGACAGTACTGCGATGACATTACAATTTAAATTCAGTTTTTTTTAAATTCGTTTTAGCTTTGTCATATTCCTTTATATGTCACTACGTTTAAAATAGGTTGAATTGGGACATTTTTTTCGTGGTTTTTGTATTAGACGCATCGTCCATTTATTTGTAAGTCAATGACCGAAACTAAACTGCACATATTGACGGACAGCTACTGCCATAAAAAACAAAGACAAATAGTATTTTTTGAATATTTTACTTAAAGGTGGTAAAATGGAAATGGGCCGACAGTTACTGGGTTCAATTTTCCTACCGCTTTTTAATAAAGGAATAGCCGTGCAGTATTTCATCAAATCGGGAAAAGTACCTTCGTCAACGCATCTGTTGAACGCAGTAGCTAAATGTAGGGAAATTAGATTAATTCCTGATTCTATTAATTTAGTCGATATGCCCCAAAGATCAACGAAAAAGATAAAAGGTTTTTTAATATGTATAGATTTAAAAGCTTTGATGATGTATTGTAATATAACATGATGACAATTAAATGCACTTCCACAAACACCAACATTATTCTTTAAGAGATCAATAGCAAGACGTTTAGCGTTTGTAACAAATCCAATTTTTTTAAACGGTGTTTTTGATATCGTTACAGTTTATGCAAAAATAGCTACTTGCGCGTTTAAATAATAATAATTTATTTAAGATCATTGATCCACTTTGTTAGTTGTTTTAGCACCAATAGAAAAAATTTTATAATGTCTTCCTACAATTTCAATGATATGAATATGAATGATGATAATTTCCTCAGTAGTACTATGTTGTGTGACCTTGTCGAAGTTTCAGTTGCCTTTGACAAACTGTTTGTACTATTAGATTGTGTGGAAATCTAATGTTTATATTTCAAGAACCGACATGGTCCTGGGATTGTCATCGACTAACCCCGGTGTTCACGTCTTCCCGGCTGCGAGAAATGCAACCGCGGCTCGTTACCACGATCAGCGAGCTCATCGAGAGAATCAGATAGGACACAGCACAGAAGACGAAAATTCCTTCATATTTGCCTTCGGTGTTTCAAAAGTTGAAAAGCAAAACGTCACTACTTTGTGCTAATTAATTTGTAATAGTATTTGTAGGATAAAATAATACAGAAATAATAAATAGTATTTGGATTTTGTAACAAAAATAAAATTGATCTTTGAATACTTCTTTATTTCTGGTATTCCTTGATTTTTTACAGAATATGTTTTTTTTCATTAACGTTTCCTGCTTATAATGTATTTATAGATTACATGACAGACGTTTTCGGCATCAACGCATTTGGCGTGGATGGCGATGCCACGCTCACCGGCGACAACGCCTTGCGCCGCATCATCAAGAACTTTCAGTCCTACAGCGTTCTTAGATGTTTGGCTTGGGCTTGCATCTTTTTCTTTCCCACACTGGTTGATTTGTTTTAGGTGTGTTTATTATGTATTTCTTAGAATAATAACGCATAGAAGCCTAGTCCGCACACGCTAGTGAGGCAAATTGAAGCGCGCCCAAAGGGCCTACACGAGCGGGCGGGCCGTCAGTGCTCAAGGTCAACTTGCACCGCGAACAACTCAAGAATTTTAGCTAAAAATGACGAAATGTGCGGTAAATGAGTGTAAAAATACGTTAGACAAACATAAAATAGAAACTAACATCACATTCCACAAGGAAGTAACGCGTTTCAACTTGTGTTTTTATATAAATATTCAATAAAACCGAAAATTAACATACTATGTACTAAAACTAGCCTACATGAATTTGATTTTTGCCTCACTTGTGACAGTTCGTTTGATATGAAACCATCATTCTATGCGTTATTATTCTAAGATGTATTTCTCTATCCATTTTTCTTTAATAGTTTTCATTTTTCCCGAGAAACGCGACAAACTACTGCAGGAGAATATTCCATACAGTAGTGAAGAAGTGAGGAGGCTGGAACGCTGATACAAGGCAGAAAGATCTAATGGATACGTTGATCAAGTTTAAACAAGGTGCCATTAAAAATAACGAAGTTATATTTATACCCCGTGTCGACGAAAAAAGTGAATGTGGGATCCTTTTTGTGTAGGTCTTCATCTACCTACATATACAATTTTTACTGTTTAACCTCATCCTTCTGAGACAGGTATCAGTACTGCACCTTATTACAATTACTAAAAAATATACAGGGTGTTAGGAAGATGGGTGCAAAGCTATAAGGTGTAGCTAGTATAGACTGTTTAGAAGCATTTCACGCTGTTGTGTTAGAGAAAGTCTGAAAATTATTTTATTTTACATAAATTTAAAGTAGTTTTGAGAAAAGCCAATGATTTAAAAGTTATTTGCTAATAATGACCAGT